TGGAAGGAACGGAATTGTCGGCTTTTTGAAGATAAGTTGATTTTGTTAGATTCTTTTTGTGTGAATATTAAGCATCTAGCTTCTTGGTGGGCTATACTACACAAGAAAGTTTTTTGTAACTACAATCTTCTTTTGCTTACACAAGATTGGAAAGCGGTGATTGTATAGAGCTTTGGGGAGGGTTAGCTTTACCCTCTGCCTTTTGTTTGTATCCCCTTTAGGGGCCTTCTTGTTTTGAATACACATTTTGTTTCTTACATAAAAAAAAGATGTATTGAAATATAAAAGATATAGGAACTACAATATCTCCCGATTAATTCGAGGTACTTGATCCTCCCCCTCTCTTGAGTATTCTTTCTCAAGCATAAACCATACTCACTCATTCCTTATCCTCATCCTTACCCCTCACTATATTTATAACAACTCTCCTTAACAACTTCCTTATCTAATTACAAAAGTACCTCAATACTCTAATAATATCCCTAATTACCCTCATAGGCATTCCTATCATCCCTACTAATTACCTTAAGAGTCATTCCTATCATTTTGTTCTCAAGAGAATGACCCTTCGAACAAGACTTTCTATTACGCCTAACCAAGTGTTGGTACAGATATCATTGAAGAACATCATGAAACGAGCATGAAAGGAGATCAAGAGAGGGGCAAAGGCAATAGTTTTTCTCTCTCCCGCTCGATCAAGCTAATCATATGTGTAGTGCTAGCATTGTCACAATCCAGGATAAATTGATAGCAAAATCTCAATTGAGTTATGAAATTACGTCGAGAGAGAAAGTTATGATTAGCTTTTTCAGGAAATTTCCAAAGGAACAAATTCATTTAGAAATGTAGCTAATGTTGGAGTGGTCCTTTCCCCAAAAGAAATCTTTAAAAAATTATGCAAAATGGGTAAACAAAGGAAGGAATTAAACTTGGAGAAGATTGCCAAGTATCTCTATAATTCAAATACAGAGGAGACTTATGCCATCATCAGTCAGATCCTTAAACTTTTGGGTTTTTCACAGATAAGGCAATCAAAACACATGTAAGAAATCAAAGGGACTGACTGATTCTAGTGGTAGAATAGTTGGTTTCACTACAGATCACTGCCATCCTCATCTGAGTTTCCATTTCCACCACTTGATGGTTTCCCATTAACAGCAACGAGCTCAGTGTCAAATATAAGTGTTGCACCACCTGCATATTCATACAATTCAAAATTCGACAGATAAAACTTTCACATAAATCAGCATCCATAGAACCAAATCAAATCAAATCAAAACAAATCCCATCATAAATGCACAGTGAAAAGCTAATGTGGTCTCTATTTTGCACCTCTTTCATTCGTTTCTTATCTCCTTTTATTTTCTTTTCAGGCGCATTCATATTATAAGTACCACGAGTCAGCTTTTCATTAGTACTTAACTGGATAACTAATGTCAAGGATTAAATGGACGTGTTTCTCAAGTCTATGGACTAAAATGCAGCATATATAGGGACAAAAAGTTAAAATGATAAAATATAGGGATCAGAGTTGAAAGTTAAGCAGTGTTATAAAAACAGAAGATACACATAACTTGCTATCTTTATTGAATACCTGGTATGGTTGGTGGAGAACCTTGCGGTCCATACCCTAACTTGGCAGGGATTTTCAGTTTCCGTTTCTCACCGACACACATTCCCAATAAGCCCTGGTCCCATCCTGAAAATGAAGGAGTCTCCAACCGTTTATAATCTTCCATGTACAATATCAGAAAAGGTATTCACATAGCCACTAGCAAAAATTGTTCAGTAGAAATCTTTTACGTAACGACCATACTCAGGTCATATTCAAAATATTTAAATCATCCGAGCTCAATCATAGCATTGTAGCTTCAAGTTTATAGATCAAAGATAATAATGACTTGAGCAAGTGAAGGTATAGTTCTGAACAAAAGAAGGGAGTGTGCAACAATTGGTGTGCTAAGCTAAGTTCAAGCAACATGAATAATAGGAGTAAGATAGGTAAGCTTATTTAAACTAAAACACCAGTTTCAAGATGTATAATCATTTTAGATCATGAAAGTCACAAAGTAATTAATTAATATGATATGATGCTATTTATGCCCTTTCTTTTCTTTTCGGAAGTTGGAAAAGGTTAAGAAATAGGGTGGTTTTCTATAATGTGCAGGGGATTTTGAGGAGAGATAGATCTAATAGGGACAGATACTCAACGTGTCCTTTTCCAAGCTTCAAACAGCAAAACTTTTTGTGATTGGCCTTTGTATTCTTCAAATCTCCATAGTCAGTCTTGGGTTTAACTTCTAGAAACTCCTAAGCCAACCATCCATTTTATTTTCTTCCTTATCACAATTGTTTCATCTTATTACTTTTTGGGGGGAGCATGGTGTCCAAAGAGAGCACAATTTTCATAATCTTTAATGATAATTTTCTCAATAAGTAATAACACAGGAAATATGCAGCAATGGTAAGTAAAAACAGGGTACATGCAATAACCAAAATAATAATAATAATAATAAGAAATCAACCAAAAATATTCTTACTGAAAATAATGAAAAGGAAATGGGAATGTGTACTTCAAGTGCCTTATTGAAAGGTCCACTGGAGTAGAGGTGCTACACCCCTCACTATGATTTTGAGGTGCTTGCACCAAAGCTCACACTCACCCTTTAATAAGGTATGGGATGATTAAAAACTAGTTTAGTGCTTTTCCTAAAACACTTTAGGTGTTCTTTTAATTTTCAAAATCACATTTAATTGAAAATTTTGAAAAGTGTTTTAAAATTTTAATGGCCTGAAAGAACTTTTTACCCTTCCAAAATTTTCCGAAACTCACCCTCGGCCATGATTGAATTTGGTGACTATTGCTTAGCCGACAAATTTTTTTGGATAAGAAACAATATATTCAAAGAAACCCAAAAAGGTGAGACAACCTAAGGGTAGGGGGTTGAGATCACCCTCCCCCGAAAACTAAACTGTGGCCTCCCAATTTCTAACTATCAAGTGTAGGCTATAATTACAAAAGAATTGCTTGTGGTTTATAGACCACCACGAAGCAATATGTTGTACATTGCTACAAAAAGCATCCTCTTTGGACTTTTTATCTTCAATAAAACTATGAGACATGCAGAGTAAGGGAATACAACACAGATGAAATCTAATACAAAATTTTCATATAAAAAACTATGATATTTTCATTAAGAAATGCAATGCGGGAGAAAAGATCCAAGACTTGCACCTATTGAAGACTGTGTTTTCCAAATGTTAAATATCATATAACAACTAAACAAGTAAACACATTTCTAAATGATTAAACGTCTAGTAAGTTATAACAAACGAAATAAAAAACAAATGTCTATTTGATTATAGGAATAAGCAAAATGTCCTCTTATCTAACCGTGGAGTAACAATAGGTCTCTGATTAGGTATACAGTATACTTAAGAAAGAAGCGCTAGTGAGAAAACTAGAGATAGTTTTGGTGGGAAAATATTTGGTTAGAAAGGTATATTCAGTGGAATCCTTCTAACAAACCAGGCGTAAGTGAATGTTTTAAGTAAGGCGTTCTGATATGAATAGGCAGGCTATTTTAGGGAAGTGAATTTTGGAGAGAAGAGGAGCTCTTGAGTTCTCCTCAGTTGTACCAATAGCTTAAGAAATGAATAAACTACTCGAGATCTATCACAACATAGATAAATAAAATGATTACTTGACAACAGCTCAGCTCAAACACAATTGGATCAACAAGGAGTCCAGGAAAGTAGTGAACAATAAGAAAACAGTCAAAATAAATAATAAAAAGAACAGGAGCAACAAAAAAAAAAAAAAAGAAGAAAAAGAAAATTATTTTTGCTCCTATAGAAAATTGCGACTGATGACTGGATGTATCAGTGTTGTGTGCATAAATACCTTTAATTACTTGACCAGCGCCTAGCTCAAACTCAATTGGGTCACCCCTTTCAAAACTAGAGTCAAAAACAGTCCCATCTGTGAGCTTCCCCTATTAAATCATATGAAAACAAACATCAGCCAATGTGATGGATTGAACTGAAAGAAGAGTTTTAATTATAAGATAAATCAACTGTGTTCAAACTTTGAATTGAAAAATTCACATCATCTATTTATCATGTTTGTTTAGGCTGCAACTGTTTGCTTATTCATTTCAATAAAATAATGTATCATTCCTTGTAACTAACTGAATGATAAATTTCTGAGACTGAATTTGAATTCTGATGCAACCCAATTAATTATTTGTATTTATGAACATTATAACATCCATCATGAAATCAAGAACATCCTTTTTCTAGCAGGGGCAATGTCTTATCTTCCTAGTTCTGACATCTCCCCAACTCTTCTTTAATAATATCCATTGACTATCATTAACAAGTTGACCATGTTTGTTATATATTTATCTATATAAAGAAACAAATATACAATCTAGAGCCAAACTAAGTTATAAATTCAACTTACACGGTAGTGAACTTTGATTTTATCACCCTTGTGAGCTTGAATGTCACAAGATTCTGGTCTACCCTGCAAAAGAAAAGAAACATCATCGAAACAAGAACAAGTAAGAAATTAGACATCATTCATTGAAGTCGCAAAAAGCTACAGAAAAAGCACAACTTGTAGACATGGTTCTTAACAAACAAAATTCCTATTTCGCCATCTCGGAAATGTTTAATTTGCAATTATTAACTTTTCTCCCTGAAATCTCAATGGATGAAAGACATTGAAATCCTCTTACCAAAAACATTCTCTCTTTCCTTCTAAGCCCAATTAAGAGAAAGTTAGAAACTAGTTTTGTTTGAGCAATAAAGGATATAAAATATAACCAACCACCTCTTCACCAAGCAACTTCTTTTCAGCATTACCAGCTAACATACATTATGAATGTGCCACTAAGGAAGTAACCATAAGATCTGACCGTTCAACACTTTCCCATCAAAATTGTAGAATTTACAACTTTACAAGACCATTTCCAAGAAAGATTTGATAATTCCTTTCCTACCCCCCAGGAAGAGCGCAATGAAAGTCTCAAAAGAACTTTCATCGAGAAGATATCACATTCACATCAAATGAAATTCATAAATCGATCTCAAGTTAACCCAATCTACACTTCTTATTCGATACATGGACCTCAAAGACTTCTATTTCAATGGCCTTTAGCTTTTACTAAACCTTCAAATCCCTTCATCAGTATCAAAGATCTTAATAATTCTAACAAAATTTTAAACGGAGGGACTTCCAAATTCAAAGCATCACGAGTTCCATCCAGAATAGAGGCTAAATTGTACCAAAATAAATACCATCCCTGAAATAATAGCATCAGTAAGCACACATTACCGTAACGCCAATCTGTAACTCAGTTACATCTTTAGATTTCTTCGCGTAAACTGAAAAACAATAAAAAATAAAAAAAAATAAATCGACAAAAATGAATCCATTAAAACGCAAATCCAATTTACGATGAATTACGATCAGATCTAACAATGGGTCCACAAAAAAAAAAAAAGAAAAAAACCCCAGCAGAATAGCGTACCTAAAGTGGAAGCAAGCAAGAAGAAGAAAACTAGAGAAACCTTCATCGCTCGTCTGGAAATTGTTCGGAGAATGCGACTGCGTTGATCGATTGCCGAAACCCAAATAATTTAATAAAATTTTGCGCCAAGAAAGTAGCTGATTTTTCGAAATTGAAATATTTTTTTTCATCTAAGATTAAGAATTTGGATGATTTGTCGAAAATCTAGCGGGACGCGTCAGAAGAAGGCGTGAATAAGCTACATGTCAGACATTTTCGTTAGATCAACCAATCATATTTCTACACCCTTTTTGCCGGATTAGAAATTAATTTTGGGAGGGAGTTATAAATAAAAATAGTTGACATAAAAGGAAGATTACATTTTTATCCTTGGCCTTTTCGTACTAGAACATTAAATTTTGGAAGGCATGTCGATGTTTCTATGAATTTATGGTTTGCGATAAATATGAGGGGTAAATCGATATTTTTCTATAGTACTACAAAAAAAAGGTCAAAATATGAAAAATATCAATAAAATATCACTAATATACATGATATTAATATTAATCATTTCCAACTTCTTTACGTTAGTGAAATGCTTTTTTATTCATTTAAATATTTTTTACGAATTTTTATTTTAATAATCTTTCCAAAAATGTTCATCAACATCGACATTTTTAAAATATTTCCATGATTACATCGACATTTCCATGAAATTTAAACCTCGACATTTTCATTAACATCGACATTTTAAACCTTGATTAAAACATTCTTTTTTATTATATTTAAGGTTTTAAATGAGGATGTCGATAGAAATATTGATGTCTCAATTTCATAGAAATGTTGACAAACATATGAATAAAATATTGATATCGATAGATATTTTTTAAAAGGTTTTAAAAATAAGGTTAAAAAAACATTTGGTCCTTGTACTCTGGCTAAAGTGACAAATTTAATCCCTAATCTTTAATTTGTAACGATTTAGTCTCTGTACTTTCAAATTAATAACAATTTAGTTTCTTTGTAAAAAAAAATTAATAAATAACAATTTAGTTTCTGAACTTTTATATGTAACAATTTAATTTCTATAGTTTAAATTTATAACAAGTTCTTACTGTGAAAATCTTATCAAAATTAAGGTGGATATTTACCATATAAAGATTTAGTCTTTGTAATTTATAAAAACATTCGATAATTCATTAGTTTACCAATCTACATATATAAAAAACTTAACAAAAACTTTTACGATAGGGACTAAATCGTTACAAACTTTAAACTACAAAAATTAAATTGTTACATACTAAAGTTCAAGAACTAAATTGTTACCAATTTAAAAATATAAGAACTTTTGGTTCCATAAGTTCGAGCATTTCACATCTCCTATTTGCAAATGATAGTCTCATCTTCCTAAATTCAACGGAGGCTGAGTATCTAGCTTTGAAAAATATTTTGGAGAGATATGGAAGGGTTTCAGGCCAATGCATTAACTTCTCAAAATCTACTCTTATTTTTTCTCCTAATGTTCACCTTGAGCGACAGAGATACCTTCAAAGCCTCCTACAAGTTACTCTGGTTGAGGATTTCGGTCCCTATCTAGGCTTACCTTCTCTTTTCTCTTGTAGGAAAGGTTTGGACTAGAGTTTTCTCAAAGACGAGATATGGAAACTAATGCAGGGTTGGAAACGCTCTTTTTTCTCAGTGGATGGAAAGGAGGTCCTCATTAAAAGTGTTGGTCAGGCCATCCCGGCTTATGCAATGAGTATCTTTAGGCTCCCAAAAGGTTTTTGTAGGAGGTTTCCCAATTGTTTGCTCATTTTTTGTGGGGAACTTCGAACAATACAAGGAAGCTCCACTAGATGAGTTGGGAGAGAATGTGTCTTTCTAAGGAGTTGGGTGTCCTTAATTTCAGAGATTTGGAATGGCTTAATCGGGCTTTAGTGGCTAAGCAAGTCTGGCGTGCATTACAGAATCCAAACCTGCTTGTCTCCAAAGTTCTTAAAGCCAAATACTTCCCTGATTCAATGGTGCTCCAGACGGTTTCTTGGTTTGCTATTATTTTACCTAACTCACCTTTTCCAAGGTTGGGCTTTGGTATATAAATCAAGTTCCCACTGGCCAAATGGAAAAAAGACGTAAAGAGAAGTTTTTAGAAACCAACTCAAAAAAGTGACTGGCGCAATCTAGCCAAAATCCCGAGCGTGTTGAAAATCAAATCATTTGACTAAGGCATTCCACAAGGAGGTTGATAACTAATTTAGAACATAATTAAATTAAATTAAATGCACGAAAACATAAAAAAGTATTTTTCATTGAATTTAAATGAATAAATAAACCGTACAAGGAGTTCTAGCTTGACCCTCTTCTCTCTCGAGCGTGAGGGGAGTTGAAACTCGCTAAAGAACTTTAAGATAACAAACTGTACAAGGAGTTCTAGCTTGACCCTCTTCCCTCCAGAACTCTCCTATTGCCATCTCATTTTTCTACAGATACTGCAACCCCTTCTGATGAAAATGCCCCAACCTTTTGTGTCATAACTCAGTGTCATTCACTTGACACTTCCCGTCTTCAAACAAGACTTTAAATCCCTTATCTACCAGTAGACCAACACTTAACAGGTTTTGGTCAATCTTAGGAACAAATAACACTTCACTAATCAACTTGGTTCCAGCACAGCTCTATATTGATAGAGTGCCCTTCCCCTTCACTTCTAGATACTCACCATTTCCTATCTTCACCCTTGACTTGTCAAGAACCTTGAACAACTCTTTGTCACTTGTCATATGATTGGTACACCCACTATCAACCAACCAACCCAACACATTGAGTGGCTGATTAGAAATAGGTAGCCACAAAGAGTTGATCTTCTTCTTGCTGTACTGCAATATGTGCTCCTTGTTGAGTCTCGACATCTTTACAAAACCACTCAATGTCTGAGTACTGTTTGATGGACTCAGAATCCTTCATCTGCATTCTCTCGAATTCCCTCACCAAGTTCAACACCTTCATGCCTTTAATCCTCTCATCGCCTTCATACTCACTTTTGAGGAATTCCCAGATTTCCTTTGTTGACTTCAAGACGATAATTCTGTTGAATATGGTGGGAGACACAGCTGCATATAGGCAAGCTCGAGCCTTTACCTTTCTGGTGACCCTTTCCTCGTGAGTCTTGATCTGATACATTGTTGGATTTTCAAAAAGTGGAGCAATTTCATAATCCTGCTCAATTGCTTCCCAATAATCACAACCAGCCATGTAGGCTTGTATTCTGATTGCCCATGCTTGGTAGTTTTCACCATCAAACACAGGTGAAGCCAGTGAAGAAAGATTGTTTGATCCTAACTCCATTGGTCACAACTCTTACAGGTGTATCACTGAGTTTCTCTTGGGAATATTTCACTAATACTCACTCACAAATCGCTTAAGAATTTAAGGCTCTGATACCATTGTAGTTCTTATTGTTGAGAGACAAATGAGAAAGTATAGATGTGTATATTTCATTCAATGATGCTACATATTTATACACGCCCTAAGTCTAGAAATAGACTCAACTAATTCCACATAAAAGGCAACTACTTCACTATCCATAAGAATAGCAACCTAATTGACTTGACTATAACAAAAAATAACCCTAACAACATCCTAGAAACTAGATCTTGGACTAGAAAAATTCAAAAACTAAGAAATCAAACTTGCAATTTTACTTAACTTACAGACGGCAAGGATGGAGCACAGTCCATGCACTAGACATTGAGAAGAGACTCGAAGAAGTTGGAATCCAAAGAGTCAAATATGCTTTCCTTGCCGAGAACGACAAAGAGAACTGTTAGGATGTGGAGACAAATTGGGTCATAAAATACAAAAGCTCAAAACCATTATGTTTAGGCTTTAATTTGTAACAAACCTATTCTTTGGTCTCAAGCCGCCTCAAAGAAATCAACCGGGCTGTGAAAATAAAATGTGCAGTAGTAATGTGTAGAAGCACAAACTTTTTAGTTGTGGCTGATGGGTGTTATTGCACACATCGAGGGCGGCCGTGAATAGTAGTTGGGGCTTTATTTTAGAGGTATGACAGCAGTGTTTGGCAGAGTTTCAGAGGCGAGATATTGAGGTTGTAGTGCATCGTCGACGACCTATTATTTTGGGTATTTGGTGAGCTTTTTAATCGTATTTCCTAGGATTCCATTGTTGTAGTTCTTAGAAGGTAGGTGGCTTTTGTCGAGGCCTCTACATTTGAGAGATTATTGTATTGCCCGTTGTATTTATCCCAATATCATAGTTGAACCGCCTGTTGTCGTAGAAGACTAGATATAGCCCATAGTTGGGTGAACCAGTATAAATTTGTTTGTGTCATTTTTGTGCTTTCCATATTCTTCTCTTATTATTATGGTTAGCTTATTTTCATTGATGAACCGTGGAAGGGAAAAATATTATTGGTAAGTAATTTTCCCAATAAGAACAAGTCCGGATAAATCTCACGAAGATCAATGGAGAGCAGTGGTAATGGCCATCTCCAAGTACCATTTGAACCAATAAAAGCAGAAACATTGGTTGTCTCAAGGAAAATTGCAGCATGTCATAGATGATTAGATCACTATATCTCGGGTGAAGAGGACTTCGGAAGCCAGACATCATGCCAAGCAAAACAACTCTAGTGATTTATCCAAGGGTAGAACTATCTTGAACTCCCAAGATATCCCTCCAACACCAAAGTGAGGGCCGAACCGTCCATAGACAAGACCCACGTAATATATAACTATGGGCTATAATAGAATATAGTGAGTATTCTGTCTATTAATTAATTATTAGTATTCAAATAACCTGTCTTTTTCTCTTTTAATTGAACCATTTAGACTGAGTTATAGTGCTTTTAAGACTTGATCACTTGGTAGACCGCACACTATGAATAAAAAGAGAGTGTTCTCTTCTGGAAAGACTTCATGGAGTACAAACCCCACATTTTCAACACCATTTCAAGCCTAGCTTTCTTCCTTAGAGTTCTAATTAAGAAATTGTTTTCTTTTTCTATTATCATCATGACTTGCTCGATAAAGGTGCCCATGGCTTCTACTACACCAAAACCAAACTGTTCAAGATTCTACAAGGAAATCAATGATATGTTAATGATTTAGAGGGTGTTTGGTTTTCATTTTTCAAAATAGGGAGTACGGTTAGCTAAGTCGAATCCATGTTTGTTTCACA